TGCTTTGCATTGATTGTGTAATTGAGGTTAGAACTGATGTATAATAAGTAAATAGATTTTAAAGTTTATTTTACAGATTTCTGTAAATAACATTTTTCTTTTGAGTTCCATATTTGGTTTACTTTTCACTACTACTGAATAGTCAAAGCGGTATTACTTACACTTTTCTCTAATTGACTAATGAAAGTATTATTGTATCTAATGTTCTTCTAAGTTTTAAGATAAAAAGAATGAAAATGTTTTTATTTATTTTTAAATTTTTTTTTTGAGATGGAATCTCACTCTGTCACCCAGGCTGGAGTGCAGTGGCCTGATGGAGGTTCACTGCAACCTCCCCCACAAACCCCCGCCACTCAATCGATTCTCCCACTTCAGCCTCACAAGTAGCTGAGACCACAGATATGCACCACCAAACCCGGCTAAGTTTTTGCATTTTTGATAGAGACAGGTTTTCACCATGTTGCCCAGGCTGGTCTGAAACTCCTGAGCTCAAGCGATCCACCCGTCTCAGCCTCCCAAAGCGCTGGGATTACAGGCATGAGTCATGGCGCCCGGCCACTGAAAATTTTTTAAAAAGTCAACTGTATTCAAAAGATAGTAATATTTTATGAAGTAAATCAATATATAATTGATACATATAAAGTTCTAGGATAAGGGATAAAGTACAAATATTTCTAGAAAATCTATTAGAATAGTTCATTTTCATTATTATGTCAATTTGACTATCTGAAATCTAATGAAATGTGATTTGTGAGTTTTTTCACTTGACAAAAAAAGTTTTATTATTAACTGGATATACTTGTGTATGTATGGATAATTAAATATAATTAACCATTTCAAAAGGAACAATTAAAACAATTTCGGTTGTGAATATCTAGAATATGAGAAAATTTAAAGAGTTGGTTCTGAAAATTCTGGGAAATAATTACGGAACTAGGTTGTTCTAAGGGAAATTTTGGAAAACATTTAGATGTTATTTTTTTTAAAGTATGAAAGCTTTTTCATCAAGACTTGATATTTTTACTGAGGGGAGTTTAGTCTTATGGTGGAGATATGTAATATGCCTCTGTACTACACTATCAACTAATCAAGCTATGTTATTACATAAATTTGTTCAATCATACATCTATAAAAATAAACAATATGTTTAATAAATGAATCAGTCTTCAATACATGTAAAAAGTCCTGGATGTATAGTTTATAATTATAAAACAATAAGCACAATTCTATAATTTTAAAATGCACCACTTCAAAAAGTTATATAGCCTTCAAATAGAATTACTGCTATAAAGAACTCACTGCTATAGCTTGAAATAAAAACAAATAATTTTAAAATTCTTCATCTAAAACCCTTATACAATTTCTAGATTTTTCTACAACAAATGTGTATCACATGTACAACAAAAATAGAAACCTATGGCTACTCTAGAATTTTAAAAGTCTACTCCTAATTCTAAATACATTAAACCAAAGATGTCACGTATGAACACCCATGATGTATGAAAAAATGCACTGTAGTTCTTTCTAAAAATACTAATTATATGCAAGAAATATAGCTTTGTATTATGACAAAACCTTTGAATATTCTAGAAAGCTAAGTCATATTTAAAATAAACACAAGTTAAGCTTCATAAAAGCCAAGAAAACAAGTCTATTACACAAAAGCACCTACAAGAAGCATTTATGGAATGTGGCTTAGATTTATATAAGATTACTCAAGGTCTGCTTGTCCCGTAGTGCTTGTTACATTCAGGCTGCACATCACATCTAGCTAGACACACAATTACAACATGGAATTGAACAGTGAGGAGTGCAGGTGACAAAACAGCAAAATGATGCAGTTAGTATTTCATGGTGAAATGACAAGGTTAGTAAATATTGATTGAATATAAACTCAATTTCTAAAAATTATTCTAAAGTATATACTTTTTTTGTTTGTTTTTTTTGTTTTGGTTTTTTTGTTTGTTTTTTGCTTTTTTTGTTTTGTTTGTTTGTTTTGGGTTTTTTTGTTTTTTTGTTTTTACTTTTTGTTTTTTTTTGAGACAGAGTCTCGCTCTGTCGCCCAGGCTGGAGTGCAGTGGCAGATCTCGACTCACTGCAAGCTCCACCTCCCGGGTTCACGCCATTCTCCTGCCTCAGCCTCCCGAGTAGCTGGGACTACAGGCGCCCGCCACCACGCCCGGCTAATTTTTTGTATTTTAAGTAGAGACGGGTTTTTATCGTGTTAGCCAGGATGGTCTTGATCTCCTGACCTCGTGATCTGCCCGCCTTGGCCTCCCAAAGTGCTGGAATTACAGGCGTGAGCCACTGCGCCCGGCCAAGTATATACACATTTTCATTCATAATGTGGACAGGGTGATCAACAGAGAAAACAGACTCATACATACAAGATTAATTAATGAATGAGATTAAAATTGTTTTATATTTTTTACATTTAAATTATTGAAAATAAAAAAGTCAGAAATATAATAGCTTAAATATCATATCATTAAAAATAAACTTGCATAATTAAAATGAGAATATATTTCAGTATTTTTTGTTCAATTAATGCACTATAGATTTTGATCAAATAAAATAATATTTATTTGATTGCTTGCAGGGGAGAAAGTATACAGTACACTGTAGCTCATCAATGAAGCTACTTATAATTTAATGGACAAAGTTCACTAAAAGTTCCTTTTATTTATCTATGATGACTAGTCTTAAGATTTTCTATCTTTCTGTCTTTTTCTATTCATGACTAGAATAAGAACCAGAGAGACTATCAAGAATATTTCATTCAGAATATTCCACTAGTCCATTAATGACAACACAAAAGGTTGGACAATATCTGAGACCCTGTAAGGCAAACGTAATAATAATGACAACTAAAGTAAAGGTGCGACCAGGTCAACAGATAAGAAGGAATCAAGTAAGGAAATAAATATTTTTGTCCTCTGGCCTTTGTAAAAAACTAGTTTCAATGCCTTCCATGTTGTTCTCAGAGATAATATTCTCTTAAACAAAAGCAAAGGATAGATCAAGAATAGTTACTAGTCAAAAGTAGAATTCATTTTCATCCACGGCCCAAATTTAAATACTGTTAAATCTCAGTACTATCCTTGGCTTATATGGGTAAATATTTTAGCCCAAAGCAGAAGTCAGTTTAGAAGTTCCTTTCTCAGAGACGCTGCATTCGAAGAGATGGAGTCACAGCTTTAAAAATAAAGTTTCTATTTTCATCTTCTTCAAATACAGCACCCATAAAACCATTGAGGAATGCTTTTAAAGAGATTCTGGATAATTATTTCAAGGAATTTTCATCTTCATATATACAAAGGAATGATTAGGACCTTTACTCATTACAGTTATGAAGGAAAGGTTCACTGAAATGGAAGAAAAACAAGGTATTCACCCTTAGTTCAGAATGTGCAGAAAAGGAAAGGGAAGGCCAGTCTAGTCATGACACAAGCAATAAAAATGCAAATGCATTTATATAATAATTACATACACAAATGATCTGAAGCCATGACAGCTTATTATGGGACATTTCAACTTCTGATTCACTTTTCTGGGCTTCATCATTTTATTCAAAATTAAATTGAGACTGTAGATTTTGGAAACCTCCACTCGGTATATCTTGCTAACTGCAGGGCATTGATTTTAGGAATATATTAAGTTGGCTCAATTATTACCTTCCTTGGAATGATTTGAACTAAACTGAAATATTTATCAAGAATAAAAGGGGAGGAACTGCAAACTTGTTCTATGTGAATAACTTGTACAAATGTGTATTTTAATTTCAAGCAATTTTTCTACAACAGTTGTTTATAAGTATGTAATATAATATTGTAACTCACATGATATCTCTCATAAGCAGTAAAAGTAGTTACACTCACAGTCATTATAATCAACCAAGTAATGTTTAAACAAGCAGATAGCATGTACATTCAAGGAACCTGACATATTGGAAATACAAGGGATTCTGTATGGAGTTAATGGGAACACTAAATTTTAACAGAAACTTGTTTAAAATATTACCTATATGTTAAATATCCAAGAAATACACTAATTTGAAATGCTGAATAGAGCATAAACCTTCTCCAAATACATTTACATCAAAGAACACTTCAAATAATACACTAACTTTAATGTACATACAAAATAGACCAAATCCTATTCACACTTTTAAAGGTAAAATGATACATAATTAACATTTGAATGAAAATTCAGGAAGCATATGTTATGTAGTCATTATAAGTGTCCTTTGTACTCCCTTTTTATCCCAATAAATCATGATTTTTAAAAATTCTGTTAGTACTGTAAGTCATAAATAGTTTAAGAATATAGCATAAAATTGGAACATGTCATTCTTTCCTCAATAAAATGTAATGTACACAAAATACGAGGCATTTACTCATTTGTGTAGGAAATGACTTCGTTGACTTACTGGGAAAAGTGAATTCATTTTAAAGGAAAAATTACCTAAAGCAATGATGTATATTTAGTAATTTAATGCTAGAGAAATAAAACAGACTTATTTAAATAAGTTACTCTAGCAACCTAACATTTTTCTTAGGTAGTTTCAAAGCTGAGATAAAATCTTTTTGAAATCTCCTATCTCAATCCTTGTTTCTACCCTCATATGACTGGAATTATGTTTTGTAATATAAGAAATATCAACATACTTTTTTCCAAAATATCAGGGAGTATAAAGAACTTTACATTCTCCTTTTGACAGATAAAAATAGAAAGGACTTCCTTGAAAATATTTATGGAAGAAGAAAACATTATTACAACAAAAATAACTTTTTTGTTCTTCTTTTTTTTTTTTTTTTTTTTTTTTTTTGGAGACGGAGTCTCGTTCTTTCGCCCAGGCTGGAGTGCAGTGGCGCGATCTCGGCTCACTGCAACTTCCGCCTCCCGGGTTCAAGCGATTCTCCTGCCTCAGCCTCCCGAGTAGCTGGGATTACAGGCGCCCATCACCACGCCCAGCTAATTTTTGTATTTTTTTAGTAGCGACAGGGTTTTGCCATGTTGGCCAGTCTGGTCTTGAACTCCTGACCTCAGGTGATCCGCCTGCCTCGGCCTCCCAAAGTGCTGGGATTACAGGTGTGAGCCACTACACCCAGCCAAAAATAACTTTTTAATAATTAAAAAGAGTGGAACAGCATGATTACAATCAACATAAAAACCTAGTAAAATTATTTTCTATCATTCAACTTTTTGTTTGTTTGTTTGTTTTGAGACAGAGTCTTGCTCTGTCACCCAGGCTGGAGTGCAGTGGTGCGATCTCGGCTCACTGCAACCTCTGCCTCCCAGGTTCAAGTAATTCTCCTGCCTCAGCCTCCAGAGTAGCTGGGACTACAGGTGCCTGCTACCACGCCTGGCTAATTTTTTGCATTTTTAGTAGAGACGGGGTTTCACCATGTTAGCCAGGATGGTCTCGATCTCCTGACCTCGTGATCCATCCGCCTCGGCCTCCCAAAGTGCTGGGATTACAGGCGTGAGCCACCGCACCCGGCCCATTCAACTTTTAAGCAGAGTGGTGGGTAATAAAAATTATTTTCTCAGCAATATTATGTTAGTGAATATTTTCAAAACACTGAACCAGAGTGTTTTGGTTTTGTCTTTTGTTTGTTTGGGGTCTTAAAAAAGTCTCTTGCCCTGGATACCTTTCAGAGAGTAGCTTGGATAGTTCAGCTCACTTCCAAACTCCCGGACATAATGTTTTAATTATTCAACAATCAGACAGGGCAAGTAATTGCATGTTTCATCACTGATATATTAACCATAAGTGTATACTCTAAGACAGCCTTATATTACATCACAGCTGTTGATTCAGAGCAAACAGAGAAACAGCATGAGAGTACTCTGTTATTGCACTGCACTGTTTCTTCCATAAATTTGAAATTTCCATTGCCAGATTACAGCTAAAGAAAGCACAAGGTTCACTAGGACATCGTTTTTAACATGATTTTTTGTTTTGCTTGCTTTTATAATGGGAAATCTAGATTACAAAATTAATGATCTTAGCCTAATTTTGAAATCACAATCATTGAAATTTTTTGGAAGGGGAATGGAATTTTGTTGTTCCTAGAAAGTTATATCTCACTGCAGATTTCAATAGGTGATGTCCTGGAATCAGTCTAGGACAAGAAAAATAACACGTTATCAAAATCAGATGGTTGTGTTCTAGGAGTTTCATTTGCCAAGCATGCTTCATGGTTAAAATTCACATTACCAAAATATAAATGCAGAGTCAAAGTTACTGAATTTTACAATAGCGAATACCAATCCTATTCCAAGCTAACTCAGACTGCAATTATCATTTCAAATCCATGTATCATATCTACAGGATGGTTTCATGCATGAATTAGAACTGTCTAAAGTTTTCACCATTCATTTCACCTCATTTCTGAAACTGAAAGATTATTCCAACTCAAATCACAGAAATTTGTAAGGTTTTTTGTTTGTTTTTTTGTTTTTTTGGAAAATGATGTACCCCAAATACTTGTCTTAGCCAGTGACTGGAAGACCTTCAAAAAATTCTACTTTCATTTTTATTCTCCTATTTTTAAAAAATGTATAGTCTTCACAATATTTATTGGGTGAACTGTATTAAGCAAGACTTGATTTTGGCAGTTTATCTCTTTTATATGACATTGATCAAAACTGATTTTAAAATAATTATTTATACTTATGGTATCTCTAGTGTCATAACAACCAATTGCTATCTGCTTGCTTTGAAAGGTGTTAATAGAAGATAATGTGTAGCCTCATCCTCTCAAATTTCATGTTTTTAAAATTTCTACTACAATATATGCAAAAATGCCTCCCATAATACATGTAGAAACTTATGCCAAAGAAGAGCATTATATTCCCCAGGTATAGATGGCTTTATGCAATATATGTACTCCTATCTAATAAATGTTCCATATATTTTCAGAATATCCAAGTCAGAAAAACAACCTATAGAATCATCAAGGAGAATGAGAAATTATGAGAACTAGAAAGTATTTGATTCCCTTTTTGAAACATAAAATTTCAGATGAATTCCCTTGTCTCTTATAGTCTACTAGAACATTTTATTTTCCACTTTCCTGTTTCTATTCAGATGAGTAATGAACTAAACGTAAATATTCCCCAAACCCTCATTTTGAAAATGCATTTCTCACTGTTTAAAATAAATTGGAATATTTCTGCCTTCTGCTAACAGTAATATTTTATTCTACTCTAAGTATTTCCTTAAGGAACAATGAATTTGTATTGTATTGGCTATCACTTCTCCCATTTTGTATGATATTTCTTTAAAAAGAAGACACTTACTGTATTTGAATTTTTAAATACATAATTTCTTTTTCAGTGCTCACTTATTTTGTTAGCATTCTGCAACATCAGTGAACACCCTAACATTAAACACAAATTGAAGAGCATATAGAAAAGGTAAAGAACATTGCAAATGCAGCACAAAATGTAAAGATTCAAATTATTTTTAGTATCATATTAGTCTGCCTAAGTTCACCAATTCATGTCTTGAAGATATTTAGTAACAAATATGAAACAACTGTGAACCAATGACAAAATATATAATTTATTTTTGAAGCTGTGAAATAAATAAGTCATCTGCTAATTCAATGATTCCCAGATAGTCCTTTCAGTTAATAAAAACCTAGTAACAACCAATAACTGATTCTCATTAGCATTTACTTTTTTGTATTTAGCCTAATTCTTATGTTTCGGAAAATGTCTCTTAGTTATATAATATAGAATGCATCCTGGAAAATGGTTTATTATTTTTATTGACTTTTTAGGATTACAAAATATTTTTAAAAAACAAAAAGGAGAGGATATTTGAAAAATACTTCAATTTCTTGTTCTTCATCCATGCCCTCCTTACTATGTGCTCAGAAACTCACGTAAAATTAGTCTATCTCATAAAATATCTCTGTGCCTTCAAAAAGCACTGAAACCAGAACTTGCTCTATTAATTAACTTCAATCTATTAAAAATGATGATCTACATATGTAATTCACAAACCCACTCTTTGTATACTTCTTAAGGAAAGTCACAAATTAAACCCAGGAAAAAATCTTATTATACTGAAACCACGTAGTGTTATTCATAAAAGATACTTTTATGTTGAGAAACGTATGCAATAAGCAGAATAGCAATAAGAACTAGAAAATGAGAGTGCCCTTTTTAATGGTTAAATATAAACAAAAACACACCCTGTGGAGATGTTCGACATCTATTACATTTGTTGCCCATCCCAGATCCACTAACTATGTAAAATATGGGATTCATCTGAACTGTAGAAATAACGACTGCAGCGTAAATTCATTTAAAGTCTAACAGAAGCTCTCTATACAAACACTAAGGTTCTAGTCTACCTTTTGAAACAGCATTTAATTTGTGTACCTATTGTAACAAAAACGCACCCACATCTGAATTAGTACCTTACGTTCACTAATGACCTCCATTCTTAAGTCCATTTCCAAAGTTATGGTAAATTATTTACATTGCTATCTTGAATGTAGTAGACTTCTTTAATATCCCAAACATCTGGTGAAAGAAAATCAGTTTTGATTTTCACATTGCTACCATTTTGTTAAGCCTGAATAGGTGTTCAAAAGACTTTATTCCTTGAAACTAAGATGAATACTTTTTTAAGAGTTAACACAGACAAAATAATAAACTCAATATGTAGCATGACTTCAAGAGAAAAAAAAGTGGGTAAATTCCATTGCTTGTCTTTTTAAAAGGAATAATTATATTTAAATCATTTAATATTTATGAGTTTCTGGATAAATTTGTATTCATTTCTCCATGGAACGCTGATAAAAGGCACTGGATAAACTCTTGCTTTCATAAATGTATTGGGTTTTAAGTTATTGTGCACAGATTTCTTGGGTCTTAACATGCTCACATTTTTATTTGTGCCCATGAGAGAAACCAAACATTTTATTTTCCAAAAGTGATTATCTTTGAAGAATGTCTTCTGAAGGGCTCAACATACCTTGCATAAATATGCAAATATTTAAATAGCTATCTAAAGTAGAGACCTCATATATATTTCATTCTCTGGCTTAAAGATGAGAATGAGTAGGCTTTCATTTTTCTAATCCCATTCTTGTTACATTGTGTGACTGTAGATTTGATGCACCAAAATAATTTTGAGTTCCTAATCTGAAAATGACCCTTTTCTTTGTGAGAACCTGAAGGTCTGGTAGAGTGTGGAGGGAATATCTTGGTGCTGAATTTCTGTGAACAGTCACAGATTTTCCCAAGTGAAGCTAGGATTCTCAACATCATTAGTATTTAGAGCTATTTATCAGATTCTGAAAAGCTCTACTGTGATGTATCTAGCCCAGACTATTCTGATCCTCATGCACACAATGGTACTGAGGACAGTGCTACAACCCTTTGTGTTGAAGTTTTTTCAAAGTATTCTCTAGCAAGAATTGTCATACTGCCATCTACAGACAAAACTGCCCCTACTATAATTATCATTCTGCATCCAATTTTCCTGAATCAGTAGTTATTTTGTTCTCATCTTCTACCAAACTTAAATGAATCCATATATCTATTTGGATACATCTGTAGAATGTAATTGTTTTGATCCCTCTTTGAAGTCAATAGATTTTGTAAAGTTCTACATCAACTGAAAATAATAATAAAAAATAGTTAGAAAGTTGTGTTAGAAACTTGGATTACCTACCGGTCTGGCGTGTACAGACACAGGTGCCTCGAAGGTTGTCACTGGATAGCCACTGTCAGAAACGCTGTAGGGATCTGAACTGCTTGAGGAACACTTGGAGATAGAATCACAGGCCACAAAGGTGTTATCGAGAGGCAGTTCTTGGATGATGTGGTGCTTCGAATTCAGGGGAGTTTCAGGCTGAATCTGGAAGGCAGGCTGTGGAGAGGCAGATTTGTAGTGTCGGGCCAAATCAGGGCTGTCGGGCTTGAAAGTAGTAGGTGTAGTTACCCAATTGTACTTGCCCATGGTTTGCTCTTCTAGATCAATAGGAAGTTCTAGTGTGATGCTGTTTCCATCATTGTCAACATCATCTGCTTTAGTTTCTTCAATAGTGACAAAGTTAAGCAGCAGGTTCTTAGGGGGCTGCTTCTTCTTCTTTTTCTTTTTCTTCATCATTATCATCTGCCTGTTTTCTGGGTTTGGGGTAGCCCATTCGGAATTCTGCTTGTTTTTCTGAGCAGCCTTAAGGTGTGGTGCCTGGCGACATCTTACTACAGCAGTGATGAAAATAACTACAACGACAGTTACGGTGCCAGCAACAGCTGCAACCAGGATCTTGACATAGTCAGTAGTTGGTGAGGATGCCTCAGCTATCTCAGTATTTGGGGTCACTGGTGCTTCAGTGCTTTTGTGTAGCAGTTCATTAATCAGTGCAGCATTGGTCACTGACTCATTCACAAACAGATTGACAGTTACAACACTGAAGAGAGAATCAGGTTGTCCTAAGTCATTAGCTTTGACCAACACTCTGTGTAAACCAAGGTCTGTGACATCACATTTCTCCTTCATTATTATGTTGCCTGTTGTTTCGTTGATTTCAAACAGACCTCTTGTGTTTCCTCCTACAATGCTATAACGAACCTCTGCATTCATGCCAGTGTCATTGTCAACAGCAATTACCTGAAAGACCACTGTTCCTGGATCAGTGGATGGTCGAACCAATTCATAAGAGTAGTTGGAAGGAGGGATAATGAAAACTGGTTTGTTGTCATTGACATCAACCACATTTATGGTTACTTTGGCACTTGAAGAACGTGACACTCTACCACCATCCTCAGCCTTTACATAGAAAGTGTAAGATTCTTGTTTTTCTCTATCAAATGAAATATTTGGTCGGATGACACCAGTTTGTGAATCAATGGTGAAGCCATCATTCTCGTCTAAAATGGAGAGAGTAACTGCAGAATTCTCTCCATAATCAGGATCAGTTACAGTGATTAGTCCCACTGTACCATGTTTTGGAAGGTTTTCTGGGACATAGAAGTTGTATTCATTGTGAGTGAAAACTGGGCTGTTGTCATTCTGATCAATAACACTTACAAAGACTGTGACATTGCTGGTTAAGGGTGGCACCCCGTTATCTTTTGCCAGAACTGTGAATAAATACTTTTCCTCTTTTTCTCTATCTAGTTTCTTCACTACAGTCAGCATGCCTGTACGACGATCCAGGCTGAACTCAGGTGGAGCATCAGGGCCTAGCAGGAAATTGATCTCAGCATTAGACCCACTGTCTGCATCTGTTGCACTTACTTTCGTCAATTGGATGCCAGGAGAGTTATTCTCAGGAATAGAAACGGTTACTAAAGACTGGGTGAAAACTGGAGCATTGTCATTTTCATCTTTCACTTTGATGAAGAGCATTGCTGACTGATTCAAAGGAGGTTTGCCAGAATCTGCAGCCAGTAATTTAATGGCATATTCTTTTGTGGACTCGTAGTCAAGATATGCTGCTGTCTCCAGGAGGAACTGATTACTGAATACTGGCCTCAATCTGAAAGGGATTTCATGATCTGTGAAACATGTCACCCTGCCATTATGGTCCGCATCCTTATCCGTCACAGTTATGAGAGCAATTTTGGTGTTGAATGGAACATTTTCTGAAAGAACAACTGTGTCATTGATTGGATTGACGATGTATCTTATGTCAATGGATGGGACATTATCATTGACATCTGTAACATTTACCAGCACCATTGCTCTTGCCGGAACCAATCCACCATCACTTGCCAAAACCAGTAACTTGTGGTTTGGTGTTTCTTCCCTATCCAGTGGTTCTTTGATTGTGATAAGTCCAGTGGTGGTGTTGAGGTGAAATAATCTTTTGGCAATGTTGGAGACTAGATTGCTGAAAGAGAAGTGGATCCTGGCATTTTCACCTATGTCAGCATCTGTGGCATGGAGCTGTGTCACTGAAGTGCCTACGGGAGCATTTTCTGGTATACTGACTTCAATCTCCGTCTCCTTAAATACTGGGTGGTTGTCATTTGTATCAGTAATACTTACTTGCAAAATAGCAGTACTGGATCTTTGAGGAAAGCCACCATCTTCAACCTTTACTTTCATCACGTAGATATCTTTCTCTTCCCTATCTAACTCCTTTTGAACTATCAGTTGTGGCATCTTCTCTCCTTCTGGTGTTTCAATGACATCGAGGCCAAAAATGTTTTGACCCTGGAAAACATGCAGTGAAGCAGAATTAACTTATGTTCATATAAATTAATATATTAGTATTAATACGAATAATAAAATATAATTTAACTTATGTTAACTTATCTAATGAGAACAATTTTTAGTTTCTTGAAGCCACATAAAAGAGTGGGATCAGTTCAGAAATAGGTGCCAGAAGACTTGAGTTCTAAATCTCAACTCTGCCTATAACAAATGTTGTGACTACAAGCAAGTTACTTTACTTTTCTTGATATTTGCAAAATTAGAGAACTGTGCTAGAAGATGTTCTGGGAAAGGGAGGCTTCAGATTGTAGCATTTTATGGTAATAAAGGTAACTCATTTATGTGAGCTATTTAAGTCTTTTAAAATTATGTGAACTATTTCAGTTTTTTAAGATAAATTATTTTTTATTTCATTTTTCCGTAAGTTATTGGGGTTTAGGTGGTATTTGGTTACATGAGTAAATTCTTTAGTGGTGATTTGTGAGATTTTGGTGCCCCCATCACTGGAGCAATTTACACTGCACCATATTTGTAGTCTTTTATTCCTTGTCACCTTCCCTCTCTTCCCCCCATGTCCCCAATGTCCATTGTATCATTCTTATGCCTTTGCGTCCTCATAACTTAGCTCCCATATATCAGTGAGAACATACAATGTTTGGTTTTCGAACTATTTAAGTTTTCAAAAGAAAAAAGTACATAGAATTTTAAGAAGAATCGTCACTAAATTTTCGCAAGATAAAAGAAGCTGTAAGTGAATTATCCAAGATTATTCCAAATGAATTAAAATAATTTTTACTGTAGATTTCAGTTGTCTAAGATGCTTTTTCAGTACCAAAGTACCGAAATAAAAATATTCTTGCAAGACAACATCATAAGTATCATATATAATAAATACAGCTAAAACCTTTAGCAGATGGAAAAAAATACAAAAACTCTGGTTAAAATATAAACTTGTACAAAATACACAGAATTTCAATATTTCCCATAGGAACACACAATTAAAATGAAATTATCTCACAGATTAACAACGCAATGCTATTTTCTTACTTTTTTTTTTTTTTTTTTAACCATGCAAGCACAATGAACTAAAATTCACAGATAAAACGTCAAATTGAAAAAGATAGCTTGGGATAGGACCTATTTTCAATTCATGCCCACGAAGTCACAGTATGGGAATATTTTTTTAAAAATCCCCTCGGCCAGGCGCGGTGGCTCACGCTTGTAATTCCAGCACTTTGGGAGGCCGAGGAGGGTGGATCATGAGGTCAGGAGATACAGACCATCCTGACTAACACGGTGAAACCCCGTCTCTACTAAAAAAATACAAAAAAAAAAAATTAGCCGGGCATGGTGGTGGGTACCTGTGGTCCTAGCTGCTCAGGAGGCTGAGGCTGAGGCAGGAAAATGCCATGAACCCAGGAGGCAGAGCTTGCAGTGAGCCGAGATCGCGCCACTGCACTCCAGCCTAGGCGACAGAGTGAGACTCCCTCTCAAAAAAAAAAAAAAATCCCCTCCCTGAACTACAATAAGATGATCCTTACACACAAATGTAGTGATCTTGCCAGCTCACTGAGGAGAAATGAGAGAGGAGGATTCCTGTCCAGTGTTACTTGCAGCATTATGACAGAGATGAATGAGATAGAAAGGTACTGGAGGGTATGAAGAAAACATCGGAGGAGGACTTTAAGATTCCTATTCATGGGTGATATATATATATATATATATATATATATGCACATATATATGTATATACACACACATATGTACAGCTAAATAATTTTTAATTCTCTATTACATTTTTAACATAAATGTTGTGGACACGTGGCATGGATTGGCTACTGATCTCTCATTTATGTGCTGTGTCATAAAAGAACAGAATAAGATCTGAGGTTATAGTTTTGTCATACCACTGTTTAAAACAAGATCCTAAAAATTAGAACCTAATAAATAATACCAGGTTTTCAGAGACTGCTAGAATATATGATCAGTTTATACATTTCAATCACATTATCTTTTAAAAATTTACCTGTCTTATAATTGCCTATATATAGTCTTATACAATATACAAATGCATCTAATTTTTTCCTCTTATGAATTACTTGAAGATATTTCTGCAAACTTTCAGATTTTGGGGGGGGGGTGCTGAGATTCATTTATACTTTTATTCAACTGCAGTGCCATAATATATCTTTGTGGAGGAATAAAATGTTTATTACAAAATTTAAGATGGCATTTCAGAAATATTAATTAAAATCATTAGCTTGTTCCAACGTGTTTTTAAAATAAATTCACGTGAGCTAACCAAAATGTATTGGTTATTTTGTTTTTAATTCATACAATAAATGTGAGCATTCTATTACTATTTTACTCAGAGCAACAATCAACCTGGCTTTTCCTTGATTATATAGTAAGAAAAATATTTCCATGTTATATGTATTTACAGTTGAAAATTAGCAAGCAAAATCTATTATTTCATATACTGCATATTTTAAGAAAAAATAGAATTTCATGACAACAACATTGAATGTAAGTAAATACCATAACATACTATTATAATTCGATCTAAACAAACTTAGTGATTTATGATAATTTAATTTTTGTAATGATATTCCAAAAGGTTTTTAGGAAAGTTCAAATCCAAAATGTCTATTTATGGGTAGAAAAAAATAGTTTCTAAATTGTCCTTCATAAAATCCATGGCACTTAGTACTATTCTTTTAATCCTTGACATTCCAATACTGAGTGGCTAATATGGTCAGAGCATTCTCCTAGATGCCAGGGTTATGGTGGTGAATAAACATATTTTACTAATGTGATAAAAGGTAAGTTCTAGCTAAGGTGAAAGAAAAATTAATAACTATGGATTTAATGATGGTATTGATACTAACGGATTTACATTAAGAGAATAATTACATTTTTCATAAGAGCTATATAGGGAAATTATAAGTTATTATTAGATGTTGCATAAACAGAAACAAAGATAGTATAGCATAAAAAGAACAGATAAAATGTTCCAAAGTTCTTAAGTTTCGGAGCCCATTATCCAATTTATGAATACAATACATCTGGGAAAGCGAATTGTGTCAGTTTTAATATTAAAATTTATGTATTTATGTTTGTGCATTTCTTGTTTATATATTTAGTTTTTAGTTTTATGTGTTTGTCTGAATTTTGAGTTGGCCTTTGCTTTCCAAAGCAAATTAAGGCAAGCTTGTGTCAGATGAAAAATCCAAGATCAGCATACTCACTGTCTTTTAATTACTTTATGTGAAATGGCAATAATCTTAAAAATATATTTTTCTAATTCTCAAGGTGATAATGAAATGTACATATTAGTTAATGGATAATGTCACCATTGCTCTTCTGTCTTCCACAACTACTCTGTTCAATATGATGGTAATTAGCCCCAACGGAGCATTTAAATTTAGATTTAAATTAAATGAATTAGATTAATTTAAAAAATCAGTTCCTACTTGCACTAGCCATATTTTAAGTTCTCAACAGCTCCATGTGGCCAGTAGCTACTATGTTGGACACTGAAGATGTAGAACATTTCCATTATTGCACAAATTCTATTGAACTGTACTATCTTAAGGCATCATATTTTTCTTTAAAAAAATCTATGATTATACAGGTGATTGCATGCATAACTCCCATTTTCCCAGATTTTTTAGCGTTCTACAAAGACAGGCTGAGCAAACATATTTAAACTCAATATTGTCCACAGAATTTGAACAGGAGTTGCCCATAGGTTAAGACATAGATAATTTTCAACAAAATTTTGGTGAGACATCTAAGTTGATATCAAAGTGTAGTGCCAACATGAGCTTACTATTATTACTGAATGATGATTCCAGGGCTGTTTTCTGTTCAATCTCCGTCAGGAATAAAGAATGACTAACACATGAATCCAACGTCAGTCCTACCCCAAATGTAGTTAGTTCAACTGAGCTCACATCCACATGAGCAATTAAAACATGGAAGCCTTTTGCCATATGTTTGACCATGACAAGAGGACAATGAGAAAAATGAAAAAGAAGATAAGATGTATGGCTCCTTAATTCATCATCTCCCTATCTTTAGCATAGACACATATTTATATACAAAAAAGTTAAAAGTTTGGGAGAATTGACCTGCACTATCCTGAATTCCAAATCCACTTAAAATTATTTATTTTTGTGTATAGGGGTAAGCTCTCTATGTGTATATCTCTAGGTAATTTACATAAACCTTCATATACTAAAGAATGTGAGTGTAGGGTAATATGGCATGAAGCTTTGTTTAAATGTAAAATCTAAAGATATAGCACCTGGCATATGTGAACACATTCAGAAAACATTTGTTAGATAAATAAATGCATTAATTAAAGTAGTGGTTCTTATTCTAAAAGATAAAAGAAGAAGAGCAGAATTTGGTTGTTCTTAATTCTTAGTCTGTATAGGCACAGGAATACTCTATAACTGTTGACTTTTTTGTTTTGTTTTGTTTTGTTTTGTTTTTTATTTTAATAAAACTGTCCAGAAAACAATTTCAAAATTATTTCCTGAAACAACTACTTCTTTTCTGTTCAAAAATGTAATAAAAGCCAAAGTGTCAATTGCTAGTAAAATTTTACAACCTAGTTGTAAAACTTGATTTTCAGAATAAATTATGACAAATACTAAGTGTTGTATGTAGCCAGTACATTATTGAAAAAATACAAAATCCTACATCTGTCATACATGGATACGTGTGATCAACAAAGAAAACAAAAATCAGGGAAGAAAATAATATACATGAACTGTAAGCAAGAATCATTTACACATGATATGTTGATTTTTGGATTCTGATATCTGAAATGGCATTGATCTCTAGTATATAAAAGTGCCAATTCAGGTTGAGGTCATGAAAAATTTGTGGACTTTCTAATAACCTCATCCTAATAACCTTCATTTGTGAGTGATATTTCTTCCTAAATTCAAAAACAAGCTTTAGGATTGCAAACCTAAGGCAAAAACTGC